CCCCCGTCCCCCCCAGGCCCCCCGCCATGAAGCACTGCTTCTACAACGAGACCGTCGGCTTCTTCTACAACAACAGCCGCAAGGAGCTGAGCGCGCACTGGCGGCCCAAGGACGTGCTGGTGGTGGCGCTGGGGCTGGCGGTCAGCGCCGTGGTGCTGCTGACCAACCTGCTGGTCATCGCCGCCGTGGCCACCAACCGCCGCTTCCACTACCCCATCTACTACCTGCTGGCCAACCTGGCGGCCGCCGACCTCTTCGCCGGCGTGGCCTACATGTTCTTGATGTTCCACACGGGGCCTAGGACCGCCCAGCTGTCGCTCAAGACGTGGTTCGTCCGGCAGAGCTTGCTGGACACCAGCTTGACGGCTTCGGTGGTCAACCTGTTGGCCATCGCGGTGGAGCGGCACCGGACGGTGCTGACCATGCAGCTGCACAGCGAGATGTCGGCCCAGCGCGTGGTGGGGCTGATCTTCTCCATCTGGGCGGCGGCGTTGCTGCTGGGCTTGATCCCGTCCTACGGCTGGCACTGCCTGTGCTCCTTGGAGAGCTGCTCCCGGATGGCGCCGCTCTACAGCCGCAGCTACCTGACCTTCTGGGCCGTGTCCAACCTGGCGGTCTTCCTGGTCATGGTGGTGGTCTACGGGCACATCTTCGTCTACGTCAGGAGGAGGATGGCGCGCATGGCGCGGCACACGGGCGCGCACCCGCGGCACCGCGACACCGTGCTGGCGCTGGTCAAGACCGTCACCATCATCCTGGGTGGGTGGTTCGTTAGGGGTTAATTGGGTTGGTCACCATCATCCTGGGTGGGTTGGTCATTGTCATCCTTGGTTGGTTGGTCGTCATCATCCTGAGTGGGTGGCTAATTAGGGGTTAATTGGGTTGGTGAGTTGGTCATCATCCTTGGTGGGTTGGTCACCATCATCCTGGGTGGGTGGTTAATTAGGGGTAATTAGGGGTTAATTGGGTTGGTCACCATCATCCTTGGTAGGTTGGTCATTGTCATCCTTGGTTGGTTGGTCATTGTCATCCTGGGTGGGTGGTTAATTAGGGGTTAATTGGGTTGGTCACCATCATCCTGGGTGGGTGGTTCGTTATCTCTTTTCCCTCACTTCATTCTTCTCCCAAGACTCACCATGGGAATTCCATGGAATAATTTTATGTTGGAATTCTTTGGGTTGGAAAGAACTGAAATCCCATCCAGGCAACGACTGGCCAACACCAAAAATTCCCATTATTTTCCTCTTTTTTTCCTGTTTTTCCAGGTGCCTTTGGGCTCTCCTGGATGGTTTTCCCATCTCTTTTCCCTCCAAGACTGGAATCCACAGAACAATTTTATCCTGGAATTCTTTGGGTGGGAAGGACCTTCAATCCCATCCAGGCAGTGACCGGCCAACACCAAAAATTCCCATTTTCCCCCTCTTTTCCCATTTTTCCAGGTGCCTTTGGGATCTCCTGGATCTTTTTCTCACTTTTTTCCCCCAAAGATTGGAATCCACAACGATTCCATGGAACAATTTTATCCTGGAATTCTTTGGGTGGGAAGGACCTTCAATCCCATCCAGGCAGCGACCGGCCGACACCAAAAATTCCATTTTTTCCTCTCTTTTCCCGTTTTTCCAGGTGCCTTTGGGATCTCCTGGATCTTTTTCCTATCTCTCTTCCCTCACTTCATTCTTCTCCCAAGACTCACCATGGGAATTCCACAGAACAATTTTATCCTGGAATTCTTTGGGTGGGAAGGACCTTCAATCCCATCCAGGCAGCGACCGGCCGACACCAAAAATTCCCATTTTTCCCCTCTTTTCCCCGTTTTTCCAGGTGCCTTTGTGATCTCCGGGATCTTTTTCTCACTTTTTTTCCCCCAAAGATTGGAATCCACAACGATTCCATGGAACAATTTTATCCTGGAATTCTTTGGGTGGGAAGGACCATCAATCCCATCCCGGCAGCGACCGGCCAACACCAAAAATTCCCATTTTTCCCCTCTTTTCCCGTTTTTCCAGGTGCCTTTGGGATCTCCTGGATCTTTTCCCCATCTCTCTTCCCTCACTTCATTCTTCTCCCAAGACTCACCATCGGAACTCTATGGAACAATTTTATCCTGGAATTCTTTGGGTGGGAAGGACCTTCAATCCCATCCAGGCAGCGACCGGCCGACACCAAAAATTCCATTTTTTCCTCTCTTTTCCCGTTTTTCCAGGTGCCTTTGGGATCTCCTGGATCTTTTTCTCACTTTTTTCCCCCAAAGATTGGAATCCACAACGATTCCATGGAACAATTTTATCCTGGAATTCTTTGGGTGGGAAGGACCTTCAATCCCATCCCGGCAGCGACCGGCCAACACCAAAAATTCCCATTTTTCCCTCTTTTCCCATTTTTCCAGGTGCCTTCGTGGTGTGCTGGACTCCAGGCCAGGTGGTTCTGCTGCTGGACGGGCTGGGCTGCCAGAGCTGCGACGTGCTGGCCGTGGAGAAGTACGTGCTGCTGCTGGCCGAAATCAACTCCCTAATTAACGCCATCGTTTACTCCTGGCGCGATAACGAGATGAGGAACACCTTCCGGCGGCTCCTGTGCTTCCCGTGCCTCCGGAATTCCAAGTACGCCGCCCCGGAGCGGGGGCTGCACTCCCACAACGGCCACTTCACCGTGGATTCTTCCATTTAGGGGTTTTTTTTGGGGATTTTGGGTTTTTTTTGGGATTTTTTGGAGGTTTTTTGGGGGGGATCTGAGGTGGGAATTTTTCTTGGGAAAGTCGCGGTGGAGCGAGGATTGCGGGGTGGAGGAGAATTCTGGATTCCTTTCCAGCGTGGAAATTTTCCTGGAAAAGTCGTGGTGGGATCAAGGATGAAGTGATTTTTGGGGATTTGGGAGAGTCCCGGAGTCCTGAGGGGCTCCAGCATCAAAATTTCCTTGGAAAACTCCTGGTGGATCAAGCTTCGAGAAGAATTTTGGAGTCCTGGGGGCTCCAGCACCCAAATTCCCTGGAAAACTCAAGAACGAGGCGGTTTTGTGGGATTTGGGAGAACCTCGGAATCCTTGGGGCCTCCAGCTTCCAAAATTTCCTGGAAAACTCCTGTTGGATCAAGGATGGAGTGATTTTTTGGGATTTGGGAGCATCTTGGTGGCTTGGGGTGCTCCAGCATCAAAATTTCCTTGGAAAACTCCTGGTGGGATCAAGGATTGAGAAGAATTTTGGAGTCCTGGGAAGTTCCAGCATCCAAATTTCCATGGAAAACAAGAATGAGGCGGTTTTGTGGGATTTGGGAGAACTTCGGATTCCTGGGGGCTCCTGGAAAATTCCAGGTTTTTTGGGAAAACCTCGGAGCAGAATTCCCATTAAAGACTGGTTTTAACCCAGAGTTGTTTTTCCTTGGAAAAAGCTCAGGAATCTTCCAGGGGGGTTGGGAATTCTGAAGGCTGAAATTTCCCTGGAAAAGGCTCAGAAACCCCCAGAAATTGGGAATTCTGAGGGCAGGATTTGGGAATTCCGAGGGCAGAAATTCCCCTGCAAAAGCTCAGAAATCGCCGAGGATTTGGGAATTGTGAGCGCAGAATTTTGCCTGAAAATTCCACAAATGCCAGGATTTGGGAATGCTGAGGAAAACCCAAATTTTCCCTCTTTTTTCTCTGATCCTGGAAAACTTCCCTGCGAGTTCTGGGAATTCCCAGGGATCCCTGGGGTGGAACCAGGGATTTTTCCCTTTAATTATTTTATTTTTCCTTTTGTTCCTTTATTTTTTCCTTTAATTCCTTCATTTTTCCCTCTGTTTTTATCCCAAAATCGGGATCAAAGCTCTGCTTTGCTGGGATTCAACCCCGGAGCCTCAAAATGACCCCAAGCGGCGCTGTGAGCACAAAAAATTCCCAAATTTTTGGGTGGAAAAAGGAAAAAATCGGGAGAAATCGGGAGCCGGGGGGTGTGGCCTATGGGAGGGGCGTGGTCTAATGGGCGTGGCTATGGTTGCCATGGAGACGCCATGACGTTATGGGTGGGGGGAGAGGGCGGAAATGGTGGCTCTGGGGGCGTGGTCATGGTGAGGGCGTGACCAAAAGTGGGCGGGATCGGGGAAAAGGCAGACGGGGCGTGGTTACTGTGGGGGCGTGGTCACAGCGAAGGCGGGAAGGGCGTCCCCTCATGGGGGCGTGGCTTTATCGTGGAGGCGTGGCCTGGCGCAAAGGCGGGAAGGGCGTCCCCTCACGAAGG